ATCTATGTTTCTTTGGGCCTGGCTTACTTCACTTAATATAATTTTTTCCAAGTCTTTCCATTTCCTAACAAATGGGGCAATGTCATTCTTTCTGATAGAGGCATAGAATTCCATTGTGTATCTAAAGGTTGAAATTTGAACTGCTTCCGCAGAATCTCCTGGAATAAATGTGGACTCTTGGGTCCCAGCAAAACCTTCTGAATCACTCCAACTAGGAGACCCAAGAACCTCTGTCCTGGTGGCACACATTATATCCAGATATATTTCTCTCTCTCTCTCTCTCTCTCTCTCTCTCTCTCTCTCCCCCCTCTCCCCCACTTCCCCTTTCCCTTCTCCTCTTTACCTCTCCCCTCCCAGTTTTGGGGCTTGAACTCTGAGACTGTGCATTGTCCCTGAACCTCTTTGTTTTCAAGGCTAGTGCTCTACCATTTGAGCCACAGCACCACTTCTGGTTTTCTCTGAGTAGTTTATTAGAGATAAGAGTCTCCTGCCCAGGCTGGCTTTGAATCATGATCCTCATATCTCAGCTTCCTGAGTAGCTAGGATTACTAGCATGAGCCACTGGTGCTGGGCTCCAGGTGATCTTTCTAAACTAAATTCTCTGAGAGCTTAAGTTCCTGTGATTACTATTCTCCAACATTAAAGACAAAGGTGTTGGGTTGGAGGCATAGTTCCAGAGGAGAGTGCCAGCCAGTGAGTGAAAGCAACTAAGCAAGTGTTAGATAGTGCAAGTCCTGGTCTCATCCAAAAAGAAAAAAAAGACAAAGCTGTCAGTGAAAGCAGCATGTTTTATATTCACTATACTTAGGAGTTCACTTCTCAGGGTGAGTTCTACTTTGGTCTAGAATATCCTCACCCTTAGGTCCAGCATTTGCTCTGCATGACCTATTTTTTTTCTAGGAGGCCTTTGCAGTTTAGGGCTCGGTTGACATTCAGGGAGGCTCCATGGGGAGAGGACAACCATGGAGCATGAAAATCAGCCCCTCAGCAAGGTGCTGGATCCCCAGTGAAAGATTCCTCAGCCACACTGTAGCAGTGGCCCTTCATTCTCCTCTGCCTGTACTTCCCCATCCTGGCCTCCAGGCCACTGAGCTGAGGTCTGGAGGGAGGTTCAGGAGATTTCCTCCCATTCAGGCCCAGGGTTTCAAGCTTATAGATGGAAAATCCTAGGTTCAAGGCCTGGCTTTATCAGTTATTGTCTGAGCCTGCACTTCCTCCTTCCTAGGGCTTTGGAGCATTAACTGAGATAGGCACATAATCTGGGCTCACCACATGATAACCACTCAGCCTCAGGGAATGAGTCTTGTGTAGCCTCCACAAGCACCACTTCCCAGCCACACCAGCAGGCCTGGTTGGCAGCCCTGCACTCACCAGCTCACTCAGCTGCTTTCTTCTCCAATCTGTTTGCACTTGGGTGCTGAGGATTCTGGTAAAGGAGAAGCACTTACAAGTCAAGGTCCCATATGAAGAATTGCATCAAAGTCCAGGAAGGAAATAGAAATTGGCCTCAGGAAGCTTAGGTAGGAAAGCCAGTGTGCTAAACACAGAACTCACTTGAATTCTGGTTCTTCCCTAGAAACAATGTGACCAGCCTTGTGTTCAAAGCTGTAGAATGTAGCATCCAGAAGACAAAATGTTGCCATACTCAGGCATTTGCTAATAGGCATATGGAACTGGAGGCGCCTCACAGCAAAAAGAAAGATGGAAGTGAAGAAATGAGAGGGAAAGGGAGAAAGGAAGAAAAGAGAGAGTTAAGGACCATAGAAAGCTAGCAACCTTGGGCTAGTCATCTCAGGACAGTTGTTTTCAAGGCATAGTGATGCTAGGCATCCCCAAACCGCTTTCAATGGGACCACAAGGTCAAAATTACTTTTTTGTCATATTTTTGTTTCATTTTGTTTTGAGACAGGGATTTTTCACTATGTTGACCAAACTCAGTTTAAACTCCTGGACTTAAAAGATCCTTCCTTAGATTCCCAAGTATTGAAACTATAGGTGTGCACCATCTGTATAGCCTGTCCTAAAACCACTTCCACGTAGTAGACATTACCTGCTTTCTTTCCACTCACTCTGCATGAGTGTCCAGTGGAGTTTTCTGGGGTGACAGGTGATGACATGGTAGCTCTGAAGGAAAGTGGGGTAAAAGCATGTGTGTCCTTGTGGTTTAGAATTTCCTAGGAGCCAAGCACTGGTGGCTTATGCCTGTCATCCTAGCTGCTCAAGAGATCTGAAGACCACACTTCAAACAAAGCCAGCTGAGACAGAAACGTCTGGGAGACTCTTTACCTCCCGTTAACCAGCGAAAAGCTGGAAGTGAAGTTGTGGCTAAAGAGGTAAAGCACCAGCCTTGATTAAAACAAAGAAGAGGGAAGTTTGTCCTTCCAGAACCCTGGGTCCTGTGCGCTTTGTAGCTCCAGCCCCAGGGGTGCAGGTATCAGGTTCCCTGGCAGCTATGAGGTCAGCAAGTCCCTGGAGTTGTGACTCAGGTGTTTTGAGAATAGTTTGACCTGGGAACTCACCAGGGCCTCAGGTCCACTCAGCCTCTGCAGAACATGCTAGAAAATGAGTATCCTCCCCAGACCACTCGCAGAAGAAATGACACTACTCCAAAAGAAGCCATCAGCTTGGTGCCCAGCTCCTAGCTTGGTCACCTGACCTCATCCAGCTCATCAGCCTTCAGCTCATTTTTCTTGGATTTGGGGTGTTGCAGGCAGATTGCCGACAGAAAGCAGCCAGTTTCCCCAACCATACCTCTGTCTTCACAAACGATTGCTATGAGGAAGGAAGTAGGTACATTGCACCCATGGGCCCCTTATCTCCTCCAACACCTGTACTGTACCTTTCTTAGCAGAGCCCACCCCAGGCTCTTAAAAGAAGCCAAGGTTCACGGTGTAGCCTATGCCTTTCTGAACCTGTTGGCTTACACCTAGCTACTCAGGAGGTTGAGATCTGAGGATTGAGGTTCAAAGCCAGCCTGGGCAGGAAAGTCCATGAGACTCTTATCTCCAATTAAATACCAAAGAGCCAGAGGTAGAGCTGTGGCTCAAGTGGTAGAGCCCTAAACTTGAGCAAAAAAAAAATTCAGGAACAATGTTCAGACTCTGAGTTCAAGCCCCTAGACACACTCTCTCTCTCTCTCTCCCCCTCCCTCTCTCCCTCCCTCCCTCCCTCCCTCCCCCCCCTCTCTCTCTCACACACACACAAAGTAGAGGCATTCCTGAGATACTGCCCCTCTCCCAACACTTGTTGATAAGATCCCGTAAAATGTGTCCAGGTAATACAGTCCTATGGTTAAGTGAATAGGTAAAATCAGGAAAGCAGCCTGCCAAGACTCCCTTAGCTATGTGATCCTGGAGATGGGATTTAACTATGCTTATGCTGAGCCTTCCTTTACCCTGCATATTATGAAGCTAACAAAATATTTGAGATGGGAGTTAAGTGATACAATAATTATAAAAGATGGAGCACAGCATCAAAAGCATTTGGCAAGACTGGTTAGCTTTTATGATCATGTACAAGTGCTTGATAAGTTACAAAGCAGCCAAGCACCAATAGTTTATACCTGTAATCATAACTACTCAGGAAGCTTAGATTTGAGGATCACAGTTCAAAGCCAGCTGGGGAAGAAAAGTCTGTGAGACTCTTATCTCCAGAAGTGGACGGGCTGGGAAGGTGGCTCAGTGGTAGAGTGCTTGCCTTGCAAGCATGAGGCCTTGGGTTCGATTCCTCAGCATCACATAAGCAGAAGAAGCTGGAAGTGGGGCTGAGGCTCAAGTGGTAGAGGGCTAGTCTACAGCTGAAGAGCTTAGGGACAGCACCCAGGCCCAGAGTTCAGGTCCCATAACCGACAAAAAAAAAAAAAAAAAAACAGAAGTGGAGCTGTGTAGCTCAAGTGCCAGCCTTGAGCAAAAAAGCTCAGGGACAGCATCCAGGCCCTGAGTTCAAGTCCTAGGACTGGCATGAAAATAAAAACCAAAGCAAACAGTTATAAAGCAGAACAATGCTACTACTCTAATAAAGCTGGCCTTTGGCTGTGAGGCAAACCAAGTCCCCAGTTACTGTTTGGAAGACATCAATGACCTCATGGTCTTGGCATGCTTGTCTTTGCTGTAGGACCTTGCAACTCAGTATGGCCCCAGACCTGGGAGCTTGTGAGAAACACGCAAACTCCCCTCCCATCACAGACCTCCTGAATCTGAATTTGCATTTTGGTAAGACCTACAGGTGATCCCTGAGTACTGTCAACTTTTGAGAAGCACTGATATGCATGTAGAAAGAATGGTGGTTGGTGCATTGGGCACGGAGCAGGAAGGGTTAATGATTCCTTTGGCTCTGGCCAAGGCACCGGAAACAGAAGGTTCCAGAGATTGAAGCACATGAACTAATGGGACAGGAAGACTCCCTTCCTGCCTGTGTCCTGTACAGCCCAGGGCTCTGGCCTGAAGCGTGCTTTGAGACCCCTGAAAAACCAAGTGCAGCCTGGAACAAAGAGAGGCCTAAGGTGCCTCTGGCCTGGGCTGAGGATCGAGTTGGGCGGGGTGAACCTAGGGCGGCTCAGTCATCTGATGTCTGACGCAGAGATGGGAAGCAGGAGGAATGCCACAGAGCTGTGGGCAGAGCCGGCCCTGGACAGCTATGTGCAAGCCCTGCATCTTCCTAGTACACCAGGCACTGGCCTGGCCCCGGCAGGGGCGGGGGAAGCCCTGGCCTCAGAGCCTGACTGTGTCCTGGTCTTTCTCCCCAGTACTGGAGCAGCTGCTCCCAGAGCTCACCGGGCTGCTCAGCCTCCTTGACCAGGAGTACCTCAGTGACAGCACCTTGGAGAAGAAGATGGCTGTGGCCTCCATCCTGCAGAGCCTGCAGCCCCTCCCAGGTTAGCTTGGAGAAGCTCCATGTAAACAAATAGCATTGCCTCTCTTGAACCTTTACCACCTCCCCCGGCCTGTGCAGGCAGAGCTCTAAGCCTCCCACGACACGGGTATGTGCCTGGCACACTCTGGCCAAGTGTCCTCATCTACTTGGTTCTTGTCCTTCCCCATCTGTCCTCCTCCATTCTTGGCCTCCACCCCTCCCATGCAGAACACACATCACACTCATGGACCTACCACACATGACACACACCCAGCACACATGCACCCCGCATGCACACACAATACACACATGCATACAACATAGTTGTATACACCACACACAACATACATAACACGCGAACACGAGCACACATCCACACAAATACGCTCTGACAATACCAGACAGACAACACACCATGTTAACAACACACAGAACCACTGTGCATTCTTACTCACCTCACCCTCAGGTGCTGTATCTCCTGAGGATGTGTGTGTCCCTGGAAATCTGCATTTCTCCCCCTTCCTGTATTCTCAGCTCTCTCACTTGCCCTAGCTCCAGCCTTCCCTTGGCACCACAAGTCAGTAGACAGCAGTAGCTCTCACAAGCCTCACAAGGGATGTGGTGGATGTCACCAAAACAGAGCTGATGCCACCTGCTGCTCTAACAGGACTGTTGAAAGGCTGAAAGGTCAGCAGTTTTGCTCCTCACTGGAGCTGTGGCCCGTGATTGTCCCCATGGCAGCCTTGTGGGACTGCACTTACTTAGACACTGAGATCACAATCACAGTTTAAAAATGAAAGTCTGGGCATGGTGTTTCATGCCTGTAAGACTAGCTATCTGGGAGGCTGAGAATGAGAGGATCAGGCTCAAGGCCAGCCCTGACAGAAAAGTCCTCTAGATGTCCTTTCTGTGTAAAGGAAGCTGGACACAGTTGGACCCATCTGTGATCCCAGAAACTACAGGTAAGCTGAAGTGGGCAGATTACCCCACTGGGGGCACATGTCCAGTCAGGAAGTAAGACCCCATCATAAAAATAACTAGTGAGAAACCAAGCTGGAGGCATAGGAGGCTGAGAAGGGAAGGTCACAAGTCCAAGGTCAGCCTGGGCTGCATAGTAAGACACTGCTTTAAAATCAAGCTTTTAAAAAAAGGCTAGGAATGTAGCTCAGTGATAGTGTGCTTACCTCATATGCACCAAGCCCAGGGAGGAAAATAGGGAGGGAGGGAAGGAGAGAGAAGAGGGTGGGGGAAGAACACAAAAGTCTTAGAGGACTGGTCCCAACCCTTCTCCCTGTCCCATGTCCTTCCCCCTCCCAGCGAAGGAAGTCTCCTGCCTGTATGTGAACACTGCAGATCTGCACTCGGGACCCAGCTTCGTGGAGTCTCTCTTTGAAGAATTTGGTAAGCGCCCTCTCCCAACTTCGGTGTGACGCCCTCTCTCCTGTGCTAGATGAGGCCTAGCTCTCACACTAGCTGCCCCTTAGCTGCTCTGGACCCTGTCAGCTTCAAATGTACTCCTATGTGCCATCACAGGAAGTTATCCCTGAGATGTGAGCATCAGTAGGAACTAAGGGGCAGCCCGGGTGATGTGCCTGCCACCGCCAGCCATCACTTGTAGCCTGGGACCCTGGGTTGGGGGGACTAGCAGGTCAGTAGGGAGTTAGAGCTGGGCCTGGGAGCACCCAAGCTGGCACGTAGGAGGCAGTTTGGCATCAGCTTCCTAGTGGGAGAAGAGAGCACTATTCACCCCAGAGAGCAAGTATCATCTAGGACAGCTTTCTGGATTGACACATAGGGGAAACCCTATGCCTTTGTAACCCTGGAAGAACTCCAGACTCCATCTAGTTGCTACGCCAGGTGAAGCTGGGAATGGCATAGCCAGCTTGCACAGCCAGCATCCTGGGTATTGCTGAAGCCGTTTGCTCAGGTGACAAACGGAGGAGGTTCAGCTTCCTGACCCCATATCCAGTCATCTTCCCCACTCATGCTTGGCTTTCCCTGCCTGATGGCTTGGCCCTCTGTAGACTGTGCCCTGGGTGACCTCCGGGACTTGTCAGAGGATGATGGGAAACCCAGCCAGAGAACCAGCCCTGAGCCAACCAAGAGCCCAGCCCTGAGAAGTGTGAGTCATGGCTTGGGCCCAGTAGGGGGGAAGGGGAGGGGACTCTCTGTCACCCTTGTTGCCCTCCTGGTAGTGCAGGGCGCTCTTTTCTCTACCAGAAATAATTCTGCATGAGGGCTGGAGAGGTGGCTCAGTGGTAGAGCGCTTGCCTTGCATGCCTGAGGCCCTGGGTTCGATTCCCCAGCACCACATAAGCAAAAAGAAAAAAAGCCAGAAGTGGCACTGTGGCTCAAGTGGTAGAGTGCTAACCTTGAGCTGAAGAGCTGAGGGACAGCTCCTAGGCCCAGAAGTTCAGGCCCCATGACTGGACCCAAAAATAATAATAATAATAATTCTGCATGAGCATTTCAATAACTTTTTTTTTTACCAGTCCTTGGGACTGAACTCAGGGCCTAGGCACTGTCCCTGAGCTTCTTTTGCTCAGGGCTAGCGCTCTACCACTTGAGCCACAGCACCACTTCTGGCTTTATTCTGTGTATGTGGTACTGAGGAATCAAACCTAGGGCTTCATGCATGTGAGTCAAGCACTCTACCACTAAGCCACCTTCCCAGCTCTTCAATAACTTATGACATGCTTATTGAGTCCTACTAAGCAAGGAAAATACAGTGAACTGGTCTGTCTCCTCAGGCACAAAGATCACCACCTCAGCCTCAAGTCCACATAAAGTTACTGCTCGGCTGTGTGGCCTCATGAAAATCACTTTCTTAGAGCATGAGTTTGTGTTGTTGTTGTTGTTGTTGACCAAGGATTGGTCCATATCTTGGGGGCACAAGAATTAACGATAAGCATCATTCATGGAATTCATTTTCATCAAAACCAACTGGTGATGACCAGTTTGCTAGGTATTTTACATACTTCCAGCTACTGAATGTGCTTGGAACAAATGCAGTCCCCATTTTACTGTAATGAAACCGAGGCTCTGAGGGGTAAGTGATGATCCCAGTGTCTCACGATTAGGAAGTTGTAAAGCTGGAAGAAGGTGGGAGGGTCTAGCTCCAAAACCTAGGCTCAGAGCTGCGGGGAGATTCTACCTCAGTGGTCTGATCTTTCCTTCTGAAGTGGCAGATATGGCAGAACTCATTGCACTTGAGAATTCTGTGTGGATCCACTGAGAAGCGTGACTACCACTGTTTGGCAGTCTGTGAAACTCAGATGTTACAGGGAAACTCTTTTGCTCATGTACTTTGCATAAGAAGAACAGGATGAATATGCTCAAGTTTGGTCAGCATTGTGACTATTAAAAGTTATGGCTCCAAAGCTAGGCTCTGGTGGTTCAGGCCTGTCATGTTAGCTACTCAGTGGGTCAAGATCAAAAGGATCATGGGTTAGTGGCCAGCCCAGGCAGAAAAGTCTGAGGGACTTCATCCCCAAAATAACCAGAATAAAGCTGGACTGGAGGCATAGCATAAGTGGTAGAGTGCCAGTCAAGCAATTATGAGGCTTATATGAGCTGCAAACCCCAGTATCACACACTTACACACACACACACACACACACACACACACACAAATTACACCTTCACACTTAGACTACAGCCTCCCTCTGGGGAACTTCCACCTGCCCCTCTGTGGGCCATCTTGTCTTATGGTCTTCTTTGTCCCCCGGCAGGCAGCTGAGCTCCCTCCACCTCTGCCCAACAAGCCTCCCCCTGAGGACTACTATGAGGAGGCCCTTCCTCTGGGGCCCGGGAAGTCGCCCGAGTACATCAGCTCCCACAGTAAGTTCTGCTCTTCTGGGGGTGGGAGCTACAGATGCCTAATGGCTTCTCCTTCTCTCCTGCAGGAGCTGGAGGCTAAGCTGTGCATGCCCAGCCATTGACACCTCTTCCTGAAGAGGAGCTTCCCTAGCTTCTCAGAGACAGCCTGGCTGGGTTGATGGGCATGGCCCAGGGTCTAGGGTTCTAGTCAATTCTGTGTGGGCTTGGACAACCCTGGCTTCTCCCTGGAACATAGCTTCCTCTACCTGTTAAACAAAAAGAGGAGCTGAGAACATTTGTGCCAGTGTGAGGAAGCAGGTGTCAGGCAAAACTGTTGCTAGGCAACAGGCTTTGTGAATGAGGTGAAGGTGTCTGCCACAGTGGCATAGTGTGTGGGTAGATGGGGTTATCAATCTGCTGGTGAAACATGGGGCAAGGTCTAAGACAATAAGGCTTTCAGAGTTCAGTTGCTCACTCTGGGGAATAAGAAGATAGGGTAGATGGAAATATGAAAGGCATCTATATTTAATTCTGTGTGTGTGCTCTGTGCATGTGCCAGTCCTGGGGCTTGAATTCAGAAATTAGACCCTGTCCATTTTTCACTCAAAAGTAATACCCTACCATTTGAGCCACAGCTCCACTTCTGTATTTTGGGTGGTTAATTGGAAGTGAGAGTCTCACAGACTTTGCTGCCTGGGTTGGCTTCAAACTGTGATCTTCAGATCTCAGCCTCCTGAGTAGCTAGGATTACAGGTGTGAGACACTAGTGCCTGGCTAGTCTTCATTATGACTTAATAACGGTCCTAACCCTTCTGTTAGCAGTTACCGTTTCTCAGTGGTGGGCTCATTGGGCATTTCTCCTGAATTACTAGGCACCTTGGTCCCAGCTCTGTCCCCATCCTGCCTGATATCCACCAGAGTAACCAACTCTTTCCCTCCACCTCTTCGTAAAGCCTCAAGCCAATATCATACCAGCTCCAGCAACGCATTAGAATGTCCATCCACCAAAACATGAGCATCACAGCCCTGTGTGGCTCAGTGAATCCCAGGCTATATATAGTCACTGAAGAAAATCAGAGAATACTGCATAATGCAATCTACTTGATTTTTCTAATAAGGTATTTGCACATGCACACATCCATGCATTCATTTTAACAACTTTTCTGGGCTGTGCAAGCAACTCATAAGATTTTCCTGTGGGAAATCATGGTGGGGTGGGGGTAAGCATGGTGGCAGAGTGCTTACCTAGCATGCTTGAGGCCCTGGGTTCTATCTTCAGCACCATCGTACATATATACATACATATCATATCTCACACCCTCACCACACACAAAACCAATAGGTTAATGGACTGTGTGACTTGAGAAACACTTTGTGGCAGCATGCCACAGTTATGCAGACAGGAGGATCACTTGAGTCCAGGAGTCTGGACAGCATAGGGAGATTCCTTTTCAAAAAAGAATGAATTGAGGTAGGCACTGGTGGTTCCTGTCTATAATCCTAGCTACTCAGAAGGCTGAGATCTGAGGATCATGGTTCAGAGCCAGCCAGGCAGGAAAGTGCCCGAGACTTATCTCCAATAAACCACCCCCAAAAAAGACAGAAGTGGGCCTCTGGCTCAAATGGTAGAGTGCTAGTCATTAGCAAAAGAATATCAGGGACATTGCTTAGGCCCTGAGTTCAAGCCCCAGGACTAGCATAAAAAATTAATAGGAAGGAAAGAAGAAAGGAAGGGAGGGAGGTGGGAGGGAAGAGAAGAGAAGAGAAAAGAAGAAGGAAAGAGAACTATGAATGAGAGAAATATTCTTCAATTCATAATTTTTTGTACTGCAGGGGCCTGTAATCCTAGTTACTCAGAAAGCTGAGATCTGAGGATAATGGTTCAAAGCCAGCCCAGGCAGTTAAGTCTGTGAGACTCTTATCTCCAATTAACCACCAGAAAAGTGGAAGTGGAGCTGTGGCCCAAAGTGGTAACGTGCCAGCCTTGAACAAAAAAGCTCACAGACAGTGCCCAGGCCCTGAATTCAAGCCCCATGACTGACAATCATAACAATAATAATAATTTTTTATGTGTGTGCCTGTGTATGTGTGTGTGTGTGTTTTAAACTTAGAGTTCTGAACTTTCTGGGCAGATTCTCTACTGCTGAACCATGTCTCTAGCGCTCTATTCATAACATTTTACCGTAGAAAAATGTTTTTCTTGAGCTAAAATGTAAGTAAGATTGACAGTTTCCACCACTGGAAAATGACCGGCCAATGTCTGTCACTACTACCCAATTCTTAATATTTTCAACACCACTAAAAGAAACTGGATGTCATGAAGCAGCCTCTCCTCAGTGCCTTCACTTACCAGCCCGCCAACCACCAATCTGCTTTCTATAGATTGGGCCCATGCAGAATTTTCAAACAACACCATGAATCTTTCCCTGTTTGCCTTTCAACATCTGCTTTCAACATAGATCTGCCTATTCTGGACATCTCAGAGAAATGAAGTCATATGACATGTGGCCTTTGTGCGGCTCCTTTCACCTGGTGTAATGCTTTCTCCATTGGATCATGTGTCAAACTTCATTCCTTTTTTATGGCTAAATAATACTCCATGTCACAGATCTGTTGCATATTGTATGTGTACATGTGTGTACGTGCGCACACGTACGTGTGCATATGTGCGTGCATGAGCCCACCCAAGTGCAGGTAGTAGGGATTACTTAGCATTTTCACTCAAGGCTGGCACTCTACCATTGAGCCACACCTCCACCTTTGGCTCTTTGCTATTTAATTGGAGATAAGAGACTCAGCCTTTTTAGCCTGGGCTGGCTTCAAACTTGAGTCCTCAGATCTCAGCCTCCTAAATAGCTAGGCTTACAGGCGTGAGTCTCCCCACTACATTTTGTTTACACATTCATAAACTGATGGCCCACTGGGTTGTTTTCCTCTTTTGGCTGTGGTGGGGTGGGACCAGGTTGGTCTGTGGCCCTCTTCAGTCCCTGCAGACAGCTCTGTGGAGGGAAAGCAGGCTGCATTGCCTGTCTCCTCCATCCAAGGACAGGGAGGAAGGAGAGGGCAGAGTGGTCTTGGGCTCCAAATCCCAAGGCACACCCTTGGGTCACGTGAGACATGTCTGCCTTCTCAGACAGGACAGAAAATTCCCCTCCTGGGGGCAGCTGGGCTTCTGGATCTGAAGGGCATTGGGCTCAGGAAGGGCCTCTCCAGCAGGGAGTCGGTCTCTTCTGCACACATCTAGCCCCTACCTGGTGTTAGAGCCTGCCCTCTTCCTCACTGCACCCCTCCCACTCCTACTCCCAGCCTTGACAACTCAAGAGGCATTCAAGGTCTCGAGCGCCTTATATAGGGCAGGTAGCCTCTGAGCTGCACTGGAGTGGGTAGAATGGATGGCTAGGAGCTTCAGCCTGCAGGAAACAGATGGGTGGGAGGGGCTGGGAACCCAGAGCAGAACTCTTAGAACTTGATAGTGGGAGGGTTGGGTAAAGGAAGGACTCCCAGAATAGGAATGAATGTCCAACCCCAGAGCTGGTGCAACCCCAGCTCTGCTCCAAGTGGTCCCTAGCAAATCGTGAAGGGCAATTTCCTTGTCTGTGCAGTGGGGCTGAACCTCCCTGCCTCTTGTGGGACTCAAAGGAGACCATAAATTACAACAGCTGTCATTTCCTAGCACATGCTATATGTCAGGCACTGCACCCAGTTTGTATGTGTGCTGTGTCCTTTCCCCCTAACCTCTGGTGCCAGGATCAAGGCTTGAACTCAAGGCTTATTAAGCATAGACCTTTGGCACACTCAAGGTCAGCCAGTGCTCTACCACTTGAGCCACTGCTCCACTTCTGGCTTTTTGATGGTTAATTGGAGATAAGATCTCAAAGACTTCCCTGCCCCATCTGTGTGTCCTGAGTAGCTTAGATTATAGGCAGAGCCACGGGTACCCAGACAGGGAAATGTTCTTTCCAAGGTGGCTCAGCAGTGATGGAGACTGGATTTGAACCCGGTTCACATCAGGCTGGTATCACATACCCTTCACCAACCGAACATCTAAGGATGATTCAGGGCCCACATCCATCAGCAAAACTTACACTTCCTGTGCACGCAGGGGTGGGGAATACTAGGGCTGGATCTCAGGGCTCCCCCTTGCCAGCCAAGCCTTCTACCTCTTGATCCATGCTCCAGCTCTTTTGCTTTTAGGTTTTTTTCATATAAGGCCTCTCACTGTGGACATTTTCCTCTCTGCACCTTCTCAGTAGCTGGGATTATAGGTGTGTACCATCCTACCCATCCTTAACCTTAAGATTCTTTAAAAAAAAAAAAGAAAAGAAAAAAAAGTAAATGTGTTGGCCAGGTGCCAGTGGTTCACACCTGTAATCCTAGCTATTCACCAGGCTGGGATCTAAGGATTAGGGTTTGAAGCCATCCCAGGCAGGAAAGCCCATGGGAGTGTTGTTGTTGTGTTTTAATAGTAGTAATAGTTTATTAGCACACATTATTAGTACAAGGAAGTTTCATTGTGATAATTTTCTCTGTGTGCAATGTACTTTGAACAAGTTCACCCCCCCTTTTTTTTTTAACATGATCTGCTAATTGGTTTATCTTTTTTTTTTAATTGTGAAAATACCGTACAGAAGGGCTACAATTACATGGGCAAGGTAATGAGTGCATTTCTTATCCAGCATTGTTGCCTCCTCCTTTGTTTCCTCTTCCCATCCCCTCCCATCTTCCCCCCACCACACACCACACACACACACACCAAAGTTGTAAAGTTCATTTTTCAACATAACATCTTGTACATGTCATTGTTGCAATGGATCCACCTGTATCCCTATTTAAACAATTTGTTTTTTCCCTTCCCCTCCACAAATTGTACCCACATCAAATACAGTGAAAACAGGGGTTATACCGTGGGGGAGGGACATACAAAGCAACTAAGAAATATCTTATAAATATGTTAGAAACAATCGCAAGAAAGAAAAAAAATATTTGAGTCCTTATCTTGGGGTTCATTTCACTTAACATCAAGTTATCTGTTTCTGCTTGACTCAGACATATACTAGTTATTGCAAATAAGGGAAACCTTGGGACCTATGTTTCTTTGGGCCTGGCTTACTTCACTTAATATAATATTTTCCAAGTTTTTCTATTTTCTAACAAAAGGGGATATGTCATTCTTTCTGATGGAGGCATAGAATTCCATTGTGTATATATACCACATTTTCTTGATCCATTCATCTACTGAGGAGCATCTGGGTTGGTTCCATATCTTAGCTATGGTTAATAGTGCTGCAATAAACATAGTTGTGCTGGTAGCTTTAGTATGGTCTTGTTTGTGATGATTTTGGATAAATGCCCAAAAATGGGCATCTAATAACAACAGATGCTGTTGTTATTAGAGTTCTTGATTCTAGCCATTCTAAAGTTCACCCTCTTAATTGCAGTCTCTTAATCCCCACCTATTCCTTCTAGCCCCCATAATTTACTTATTTTATTGTTATTATGAAGGCAGTGTACACACAGGGTCTACACAGGGTAAAGAGTACATTTCTTTTTTTGGGGGGGAGGGGGTCTGGTCGTGGGGCATGAACTTTGGGCCTGGGCGCTGTCCCTCAGCTCTTCAGCTCAAGACTAGTGCTCTACCACTTGAGCCACAGCGCCACTTCCAGCTTTTTTCTTTTTGCTTATGTGGTGCTGAGGAATCGAACCCAGGACCTCATGCATGCAAGGCAAGCGCTCTACCACTGAGCCACCTTCCCAGCTCGGCTTTTTTCTTTTTGTTTATGTGGTGCTGAGGAATCGAACCCAGGGCCTCAGGCATGCAAGGCAAGCACTCTACCACTGAGCCACCTTCCCAGCCCTGAGTACATTTCTTTTTGGGCAATGTCACTCCTTCTCTCCCTCTCTCCCAGTTTTTGTCTCCCATCCCCACCCACACATTGTATAGTTCATTTTCAATATAAAGTCTAGTGAGTACCACTGCTGCATTTGTTCACCCTTTCCCCCTACCATTTTTGTGCCCTCCCCCTTTACCCTACTAAAGACATATACACAAGCAAACAAGACAAAAAGAAAACAAAAACAACGAAGGAAGAACCGTTTCCATTTCCTTGGGTTGACTTCCATAAATGTTATTTTATGCTCAGAGGCCATGAGATTCTTGTTTCCAAAAAGTCAGAAGTGGAGCTGTGGCTCAAGTAGTAGAGCACTACTAGAAAAAAAAAAGCTCAGGGACAGACTCAAGCCCTGAGTTCAAGCCTCAGGACCTGCACCAAAAAAGAAAAAGCAAAATGTGTGTTGAATACATTTATTCCAATTCATCATAGTTCATTTTTTTTACTTTTATGTCTGTCTAGAGTTTCCTGTCACATCAGTTTTTTTCAGTGCAAATTCCTCAGGCAAGCTCAGTCCAGTGAGTTTAGATGTCTGAGGATGAAATACATTTTCAGCTAGACCCCAGGTGACTGATACAAATGCAGTTTGATAGCCCCTTAAGCCTGCAGTGTGTTAATTTCCAATCAGCTAGCAAAAAACTGGAAGTAGAGGTGTGGCTCAGGTGGTAGAGCACCAACTGAGGCGGAAGATCCAAGGGTACAAGAGGGTGGGAGCCGAGCTGGCCACACAGTGCAGAGACCAGAGCTACAACCTGTATACTGACACCTGTCCAGTGCCCTGGGGTCATGGAGGAGGGACTGACCATTCACTGATCTAGAAAGGTCAAAGGAAAGATCTTTGAGCTGGGTCTTTTTTTCCACTTTTTTTTTTTTGCCAGCCCTGGATCTTGAACTCAGGGCCTGGGCTCTGTCCCTGAGCTTCATTTGCTCAAGGTTGGCATTCTACCACTGAGCCACAGCACCACTCCTGACTTTTTCTGTGTATGTGGTACTGAGGAATCTAAGCCAGGGCTTCATACATGCTAGGCAAGCGCTCTACCACTAAGCCACATTCCCAGCCCTGAGCTAGGTCTTGGAGGATGAGTAGGAGTTCTCTGGTAAAAGGTAAGAAGATATACCAGCCTAGAATGTGACAGGGCAGGGTAGTTTTGGGGCACAAAGGCTAACTAAGGGACAGACCTGAGCTGCCCTGGGCTCCACTGCCTTCACTGAGGAAGAACATGGTATCCTTTCTCCCACTTTCCTTGTCTCTGCCACATTTCTCCAAGCTGGGCTTTTTCTGACTGCAGATGGCTACAGCCCAGCCCACTCAATTATGGACAGCTACTATGAAGATGCAGACAGCAGCTACCCCACCACCAGAATGAATGGGGAGCTGAAGAGCTCCTGTAAGTAGCGGGGAGGGGAAAATCACTGTTTACACACGTCTGTCCCCAGTAAAGCCAGCCTCCACAGCCCACACACGCCACCCCTCACCCAGGCTGGGGCTCCAGGGGTCCCCAAAGCCCTTGTTTTCTGTGGCTCCTGTGTTCAGTAGAAGGGCCACAGGAATAGGAGTCAGCAGCCCCAAGTCTGGCCTTTGCCCTGAGTCTTGGTGACTGATCTTAAGAGAGAGAGCCCAGTTCCCTTCTCTGTGCTGGGGATTGTTGAGGTTGCTCTGCTCATCCAAGACACATCCGCCCTCCATGATCTGAGGCCTAGAGCCAGGCAGGGTATGAGAAGGGGTCTCCAGGGATGACACAGTGGTGGTCCTCTCCCCTGCCGCTGCAGACAACGACTCTGACGCCATGAGCAGTTCCTACGAGTCCTATGATGAGGAAGAGGAGGAAGGGAAGGGGCCACAGCCCCGGCACCAGTGGCCCTCCGAGGAGGCCTCCATGCACCTGGTGCGGGACTGTAGGATATGCGCCTTCCTGCTGCGGAAAAAGCGCTTTGGGCAGTGGGCCAAGCAGCTGATGCTCATCAAGGATGACCAGCTCCTGGTGAGTGCCTCCTGGTGGAACCACCCTTGTCTACAGGCCTGCAATGGCCTTGGGAGCCTCTGGCTTGTTAATCGGGAGGCAGAGGTAGGAGGATCTCCGTCTGATGCAAGCCAGGGAAAAAGCAGATGACCACATCTGAAAAACAAACTAAAAGGACTGAGGGTGTGGCTCGTGATAGAGCAAACTCCAGGCCCTGAGTTCATCCACACAGCAGGCGCACATGCATGTACACACACACACACACTCATGCACGCACACACACACACACAGAATATTCCCTTGATCAAGAGACAGCCACTTAAAGTTTGCACACACCTTTTCTCCACCCTCATTTACAGGTATGTTGTAAAACCTGATCTCCTGAAGCTCTCTTACTGTTGCATAGCCTGCTTGTCTTTAAGGCATTATTTTTTTTACATTTTTATTGTTATGATAAAGGTGATGTAAAGAGGAGTTATAGTTACATTAGTATTAAAGACTTTATTTTAATTCACCAACACTTATCACTTCATAAAAGAGCATGCACCTTGAATTCCAAAGCAGGAAGATGAGTATAACTTCAGAAAATAATATTAACAACTCAAAAACACACACACAAAATCACTGTTGGCAAGCCTTATTCAATAAAAACATGTCTGAAACCAGACCTCTCCTCACCCTGGGGTAGTGAATGCTTAGTGCAGGCAAGCACCAGACTGAGGGTGGCCAGGGACCTGATTCTGCCCCTTCGCTTTGATCGATGGCAGTGACTGAGACCTCCAGCTTAGTGAATAGACAGATGGAAGCAAATAGCCAGATTCTGTCCAGATCTCAAAGGAAAAGCTTCAGTAATTCAGCAATAAGACTGCATGTGCTGTGTGTGTTTATAGATGCTCTTTCTTACCACATAAGATAATTCCCTGTCCTCCACTCTTAGTTTGGCAGTTACATCACAAATGGGATCTGACTTTTATCAGGTACTTTTTTCTACCTCTAGTGAGGTGGGAAACTTCCCTTTGTTTTTCTGTTCATGTCATGACTTATGCGGTACTAAGATTTGAATTCAGGGCTTTTGAGCTCTTCCTCCAGCCCTTTTTCCCATGTAGCTCAGTGATCTACCACTTGAGCCATACTTCCACTTCTGGGTTTTTGGTAGTTAATAGGAGATAAGAGTCTCCTAGATTTATCTGCTTGGTATGGCTTTGAATCTTGATCCTCAGATATTAGCCTACTAAGAGGCTAGAATTATAGGCATGAACCACTGATGCCCCACTTGTGTTTGCTTTTGAGATAGGTTCTCACTTTGTGCCCGGACCATCTTAGACACCAATCCCCCTATTTATTTCTACCATTTTATCTGGGATGAACGTCAGGCTCTTACCCACATACTACCCAGCTGTTTGTATTGAGATGAGATCTCACACCTCCCGCCCTGGCATGGAACCAAGATCCTCCTGATTTCAACCTCCCAAATGCCAAGTGGCAAGGATTATTACAGTGGTGAGCCACCGTTCCCAGCTATGTGCTTATTGTTGGTGTAGGGAAGGGAAGTGTGCTACTTAGCTTTTTCACTCAAGGCTGGCACTCACTTAAGCCACAGCTCTACTTCCAGCTTTTAATGGTTAATTGGAGATAAGAGTCTCACAGATTTTCCTGCTCAGGCTGGCTTTGAACTGTATTCCTCAGATCTGAACCTTCTGGGTATAGGATTACAGGCATGAGCCAGCAGCACTCAGCCTCTTTGGTTGATTTTTAGAAGTTAAATTTTTAAACTGCCTTTGAGTTCCTAGAATAAACCCCATTGTGTTGATGTGGTTTACTTTTTAGTCATGTGGATTCCATTGCTAGTGTTTTGTTTAGGGATGTTGCAAGTGTGTTGTGAGAGAAGTTCGCCTATAATTTTCCTTTTCTGTAAAGTCACTGTCAGGTTCTGGTATCAAAGTAACACAGACTTCATGCTAAGAATGAAGAAATGAGAACCACTTCTGATAAAGAACTGACTCTCCAGCCACAAGAATTCTCCCCCAGCCCCCTGCCATCTGCCCTTCCCCCTGCTTCCTCCCATGCCAGTGCATTTGCTCTGGTTCTGGTGGCCTGGATGAGCCTCCTGCCATTGTATCAGGGTCTTTCTTCTTCCTCAAAGCTTCCCCCCCCCCGCCACTCCCTCACCCCTGTTAGGCTGGATGGAGGGTATGAGGGGTGGGAGTCTTCCTCCACCATCCACTCCAGAAAGCCCAGATGCCCTCTCTCCCTGACCAGTGTTACAAAAGTTCCAAAGACCGGCAGCCGAATCTCAGGTTGGCGCTGGAGACTTGCACTGTCATCTATGTGCCGAAGGACAGCCGGCACAAGAGGCACGAGCTTCGCTTCTCCCAGGGTGCCACAGAGGTCCTGGTGCTGGCGCTGCAGAGCCGGGAGCAGGCAGAGGAGTGGCTGAAGGTATGTGGGGTTTCCCAGGCCCATGCAGCACTCACTGGCTGTGAGATCTTCTGCAAGTGACTTTAACCTCCCTGTGCCTCAGTTTCCCCATCTGAGTGTCTGCCAAGCACCAGTAGCTAGTTGTTTCAATTGAGAAGATGGTGGTGCTCCACCCCCAAGCAGATCTCCACCCTTGCTGCCTCTACTCCGCTCAGAAGCCTTTGCCTTTTGTAGTGGTACCAAGGATTGAACCTTGGGGCCTCATACTTGCTAGACAGGCTCTATCTCTCCGGAGCCAGGCTACCAGCCACTATACCCGTATGCTATTCCCTCTGATCTTCCTGCTGGAGCAAAAGAAGACAGCCCCTCCCTCCATCCTTCCCTCCCTTCCTCTTCCTGCATCTCTCCCTTCCTGTGACACAAAGCTGTCCTGTGGGATGCTCTGGGATTCTTACCTTGTCTCCAGAGGGGAAGGAGAGGGGACCTGTCCACTGCTGTCAGAGGCAGCTCTAGCTAGGCCTGGAGTTCAAAGACATTCTTGCAGAGAGTAAACAAAGGTCACCACACTGCTTGCATCTGGTCTCTGGCTCTGCTGCACCTTTAACAGGTAGCTTTGACTCTCCCAGCCTCTTCACCCCCTCCCCACACTTGAGCCTCATCCTGTGATGCTCCACTCCACCATTCCCTTCATCCCTCCCCCTGTCCTCAGAAACAACCCAGCAGAGGGCTGGCCATCTCTCATACTGTATGTGTGGAAGCCAGAGTAAGCAAGTGGCTTTTCTAAGACCTCTCTCCTCAATAGACCCATCCTCTTGGTTCCCTCCCCTTATCTATCCCATTCATGGGACAGACACAGGAGAAAGCCTCTTCAGATCCTGACCTGATCCACACTTGTGCACATGGCTGTCAGCCCTTCCTGCATCCCAGTGACCCCAGGGCCTTGTCACCACAACCCTGATCCCACCCCCTCCAACTCCTTTTGCCCTCTGAGCTTCCTGTATGCACTCCTGTCCCCAGCCATGTGTCCTCTCCACAGGCTATCCGAGAAGTCAGCAAGACCACTGGGGGAGCAGAGGGAGCGGAGATCCCTAGATCCCCAGTCCTCCTGTGCAAGCTGGATCTGGACAAGGTACATCTGACTCCAGTCTCCTGCTGACCTGGATGTGGACACAGCCCCTAGCCCCGTGGGAACTCACAGGCTGGGGATGCTGTTCTGCATATACCCAGCAGAGCAGGCAACGCAGTCAATCAGTGCTCAGTAAACGCCTACTGCACAAGTAGAGAGAGCCCATGTCCAGAGCTAGCAGGAGGGCATGGCTCAGCCACGTGACCTCAGGAAGAGATTAGGAAAAGAAGTGAAGCAGCCATTGGTCAGTTGGCTAATTAGTACCAGTGTCTACACTTAGCCACTTGCTGAGGGTAACAAAGGACTCAGACACAGAGGTGTGTAATCACAGTCAAGGGGAAAGTTTAAACACATCCACAGGTTTTATAGGCTATAACAGTGCCAGCACTTACAACTGTGATGATGTGACTACACTGTACCAAATGTCTTATATATATTCATGAATTGGCTTTCCATAACAGCTTCTATAGTCAGATGACAAAAGTATACGGCAGAGCTAGGGTTTAAAGTCCAGGTAAGGTGACTCCTGAAACAGTGCTGTCACAGTGAAACTTCCCCGGACCAGGTTCTTAGTGAGGATCTGTCTACCCAGCACCCATGCAACCCTGGCACAAGAGAAATGACCCCAATCAGGACTTTTCTGCGCTGCCTGGCTTTGAACCACAATCCTCCAGATTTTAGCCTCCTGAATAGCTGGGATTACAGGTGTTAGCTGCTGGTACCCTGCCCTGGCTTGACTGTTTTGAAAATGTCTGACTACCTAACCCCTTCTCTCCCTGTCAGGATGGTATTTCCCGTTCTGGGGTGTCATCTTCCCTGCCCTTGTGACCAGTGGATGGATGAGGGCTTACCTCAGCCTTGGTTTCCACACCAAATCACAGGACCTTGACATCTACTCATGAAACACATTTCAGAGTATCTCACAAAAAGGAGAGCCTCATGAAGCACAAGTATTAGCAAGGACTTATTTTAGTATAATGGGATAGAATAGAGAAATGGGGGAAGAAAAGGAAAAAACATGTCCTGGAGGCCATAAAGGAAATGAAGAGTTAAAGACTCAAAATAGCGGTCCCTGTCTGTAGCCTTTGTACCTTTGAGTGAGCAGATATACATGCTGATGACACCCAGCACCTATTCTTTAGATCATGGTTCTCAGTGGCTAAGATGGGCGAGGCCCACCCCAACCCATACAGTACCCTTCAGGACTTCCCTCTGCCAGGTAGGCTATGCACGGTTTCTGTCTTTTTACTCCTTCCAGAAGCCTCACAGCATTTTTTTTGTGCCAGTCCTGGGGCTTGAACCCAGGGCCTGAACACTGTCCCTAAGCTTCTTTTGCTCAAGGCTAGCCCTCTACCACTTGGGCCAGCTTTTTCTGTTTATGTCATACTAAGGAATCAAACCAGGGCTTCATGCATGCTAAGCAAGCATTCTATCACTAAGCCAAAGGGGAATCAGGTGAAGAGAGGCCCTTTATGTCCCCTATTCTTATAATTCATCATCTAAAAGGAAATTGTGGGAGTAGAGCTAAACTACTTTTCTCCTTGATTCCAATTGTTGAATCTGTGCTCTGTGTGTGTGTGTGTGTGTCTGTGTGTGTGTGTGTGTGTGTGTCTGTGTGTGTGTGTGTCTGTGTGTGTGTCTGTGTGTGTCTGTGTGTGTCTTAGAGATTGATTCCCCAGAGCCTGGGCATTGTCCCTGAGCTTTTTTGGTCAAGGCTAGTGCTCTACTACTTGAATCACAACTCCACTTCTGGATTTTTGTTAATTAATTGGAGATAAGAGTTTCATAAAATATACTGCCTGGGCTGGCTTTGGACCTCGATCCCAGATTTCAGCCTTCTGAGTAGCTAGGATTACTGGTGTGCACTACACCAGCGGCCAGCTGAATCTGGGCTTTTAATATTTAAACATAATATAATTGCCCTGGCCCCTCATCTACCCTGCCCTCCCCCCAGTTCCGTGCTCAAGCATGAAACATCCCTGAGGCTGATCTCAAGGGCAGGAGGATCCTTGGCAGGACATGGTAATTCATGTCTACAATACTAGCATCTAAGAGGCAGAAACTGTTGCAAGTTCAAGGCCAATCTGAACTATTTGTCAAGATCATACCTCAAAAAAAAAGAAAGCCCATCACACAGGTGTTGGAGATGATTCATGTTGTTGGTCTTGTAATCTCACTTGGGCTGGCTACTGTTCCAAAAGTAACAGTAACCTTCTCTAGATGACTGCAAGTCAAATGAGAAAAACAAGGGAAAAATTTCCATGCTCCATCACCTGCCTTGACCTTATAAGACTAAATTAGTAAATCAGTGAACTCAACTTGTTGAGAACTGGGCTGGTATAAACCTAATGTAGCTGGCAGTGAAATTAATAGCATTTTGTGTACACCTGAGCATTTTTGTGTGTATTTGTGTGTGTATGTATGTGTGTGTGTGTTCCTTTTGTTTTTCCTTGTTTGTGGGGCTTGAACTCAGGGCCTGGGCACTGTCCCTGAGCTCTTTTGCTCAAGGCTAGTACTCTACCACTTTGAGCTGCAGTGTTCTTCCGGTTTTCTGTTAATTAATTGGAGATAAATGTCTCACAGACTTTTCCTGCTTGAGCTGGCTTTGAACCATGATCCTCAGATCTTGGCCTCCTGAGTAGCTAGGATTACAAGCATGAGTCACCAGCTCCCAACTGTGTTGCTATTTTTCCTATTTTCCTCCAAGCTAGGATCTCTCCTAGATTCCTATTGGTCTTCAGGTCCTGGCTTGACTATTTTATTTTCTTTGGTAGGATTAGAGTTTTTACTCAGAGCCTTAGACTTGCTCAGTTTCTACTCACTCAACTACCACTCTACCATTTGAGCCACACTTCCAGCTCTGCTTTTTGCTGGTTAATTTGAAATAAGAGTCTCACAGACTTTCCTGCCTAGGCTGGCGATCTCAGCCTCCTAAGTAACTATACAGGTGTGAGCCACAGGCTCACTGTCATGTTGGTTCTTCCCCTTCTAAGTCTCATCTTGCCAGGATGACACTCTTTAGTGGCTCTTTTGCATTCAGGCTTACTCCCTTCTTGCCTGACTCCACTACCCACAGCTTTACAGTAGTATCCTGCGTTCATTCCCTCCCAACGCCCAGTCAACTGCTGAATAGAGTAGACTCCTAGGACATTGCTGTTAGTGTGCTATAATCACCTCATTCCCCAGCAGATATGGCCAAACACACCTAAGTTGCCATCTTCCCAGTCCCTGGGGTAGTTAGTATAAGGCACATAACAGTTGATGACAATGTTTGTTAACTATTTTATCATGCGCTTGGGTACTTAGGGGGAAGACTGAACTGATTGAGGCTATCTCTCTCCCTCCCCAGAGGCTGTCCCAAGAGAAGCAGACCTCAGACTCAGACAGTCTGGGCATGGGCGACAGTGGTTCCACCCTCGGTCGCCGGGAAGCTTGTGAACAAGGTAGAGCCCTCCTCCCTTGTCTCAGGCTGGAGGATGCTCTAGCTGGAGTGGGGGTGGGGGGAGGCTTACCCCTAGGCACAAGTGATTGAAGTCCATACAGGCCAGTCCTATGTGCAGGCTGCAAAGGGCTGCTGGGAACAACAAGGATGGGTAGAACCAGAGCCCCTCCTCCATGCCCAACCCATTTCTTGGGCAATAGGCAAAGGGAAGAAGAGCAGCCTGGCAGAGCTGAAGGGCTCCATGAGCAGGGCTGCAGGCCGCAAGATCAACCGCATCATCAGTTTCTCCAAGAAGAAGGCCCTGGCCGAGGACCTACAGACATCCTCCACCACGTCCTCCACTGAGGAAGAGGTTCCATGCTGTGGTGGGTATGGGATGGGGGAGAAAGGTTGCTCAGGTTTTACAGAGCAGGGCTCCTGGGGCTGAAGCCAAGAGACCCTCCATGCCTTAGCCCTCTGGCCCCCAGGATAGGGTGGTGATCCATCCTCTGGATGGCTAAACCCACTTAGCAACACGCCTTCCCTCCATTTCTTTGTTCCTCTGAGGCCCTGAAGTTCAGAGGAAAACAAGATTGCTCCATCCCTGCTCCCTGTCACTTTAGGCAAACCACTGCCCACCTCAGCCTTAGTTTCTCCATTTCCTCTGCTATCCTGAGAGTAACTTAGTTCATAGCTTATAACATGGCAGGTACTTCAGTTATAGCTCTGTCTTGTAGAGAAATTTGGCCAGCCATTGGTGACCTGTAATTCTAACCACACAGGAGACTGAGATCTGAGGATAATGGTTTGAAGCCAGTCCTGGCAAGAAAGTTCGTGAGATTCCTATCTCCAGTTAACCAGCAAAAAGCCAGAGGTAGAGATGTGGCTCAAGTTGTAGAATGCAAAACCTTGAGTGAAAAAGCTAAATGAGAGTGTGACATCCTGGGTTCAAGCCCCAGCACCAGTACACACAAAAACACAACAACAACAACAAAAATGCTTAAGATCTTTTTAATATAAATGCATTTAGCATTTGTGAAAACACATTTGGAAGAGAAGCATTATTTTTCCAATAAATACAGTATACTGAATATAATACTGTACGCCAGTAGAAAGCCATCCAATTTGGCAGGTTTAGGTGTAACTCTGTAGTAGAACACTTGTCCAGCATGTGTGAGGCCTTGGATTGAATTCCTATTCCTACAAAAAATAAATAAGATCATCTGTTTCCAATATGCAGAGTATTCTAACCTAAAAAAATAGTACAAGAGCATATGACTATAGGGAGATATTTTGTAATCAGTGAGTCAAATTACGCTATGGTTAATAATGATCATGATGACAATACTAATAATATTTATGTGCTGCTGTCAGCTATGGTGGTTTCCACAGGCTGCCGCTAGGTGTCAGCACCATCCATTGGTTTCCATCTTGCAGTACAAGTTGTGGGGGCAGGCAGGAGGCATGTTGTGCTCTTGATAGGGTTGTGTCTTTATAGCCTTAGGTGTAGCTTCCGCACTTCCCAGCACTATTTTTGATGTGCTCCTTAGGGTGTTCAGGGATTATCAGCACTCCCTTCAGAACCAGAAAACCAGCTCAGGAAAGAGGGTGCTTAAGGCCTTTCCCAGTAAAGCACAAGGGCACTGGGGTGGTACAAGTGCTCAGCCCTGGGGTACAGGGCTGCACACCTGCACCCCGCACACCCCAGCTCCCACACACACACAGGCTGTTGGAGGTCACATGCCCTCTCCCCTCCCAGGTTATCTGAACGTGCTGGTAGCCCAGGGCTGGAAAGAACGCTGGTGCCGCCTTCGGTGCAGCACTCTGTATTTCCACAAGGACCGCGCGGACCTGCAGACCCACGTGAACGCCATCGCCCTGCGTGGCTGCGAGGTGGCCCCGGGCTTTGGGCCTAGGCACCCGTTTGCCTTCAGGATCCTGCGCAATCGGCAGGAGGTGGCCATCCTGGAGGTGAGGGGCAAGGGGCCCGGGGGTCCTGGCCCCAAGGTCTTTTTGGGGGGTGGGGTGGCTACCACTGCCCTGCGCTGCAGGCAGGGAGGGGGAGGACACAATAGAACACAGGCCACCAACCTTCAAATCCCGGCTAAACATGAATGACATCAAGTAAGTATTAGGAACATTACAGTTACATCCCATAAAAGGGGAGAAGCATGCCTACACTACTAAAAATGATTTTTCTGATATTCTTAATAGCCCATTATATATTTTTTAAATTTAGTATTATTATAAAGGTGACGTACAGGGGTGTTACAGTGACATACATAAGTCAGGTAATGAGTACATTTCTTCTTGGACAGTGTCACCCCTCCCCTCACTCTCTCTTAGTTTTCCCCTCCCATCCCCATGGACAAAGTGTTATAGTTCATGTTCAACATAATGTCTAGTAAGTACCACTGAGTGGAGCATTAAACAGAACATTCTGTATTTAGATTTTCTCAGGCAGCCTGAGAGCCCAGGTTCATCTGTTCATCCTGATCTTAAATTTCAGGGAACACTTAAATATTGTTTTTATACCCAAATGGTTAGGAGGACCCCAAAAGTATGCAGTCTTAGAAAGGTATTCAGGGCCTGGGAATGTGGCTCAGTGGTAGAGTGCTTGCCTAGCATGCATGAAGCCCTGAGTTCAATTCCTCAGTGCCATATAAACAGAAAAGGCCAGAAGTGGTGCTGTGGCTCAAGGGGTAGAGTGCTAGCCTTGAGCACAAAGAGGCTCAGGGACAGAGCCCAGGCCCTGAGTTCAGTCCCCAGGATTGGCACAAAAGAAAGGTAGTCAGGTAGGGCCTCTGCTCTTAGAGGAGGTGGCTTTGACAGAATTTAGAATCCAGGGAAATAAGGAATCTCAGATTTCTAGATGTCCTACTCTCATTCCTCTTTGACCCCTAAGGATGGGGTACAGAATAGGTGCTTCTGAGTATTTGTGGTCTGGCTGAAGAAAGCAGGCTGCCATCAACCTTCACAATGTGGAACTGAGGTCCACTGTGCCCCTTCTACTCCAGGCAAACTCTTCAGAAGACATGGGTCGCTGGCTTGGGCTGCTGCTGGTGGAGATGGGCTCCAGAGTCACCCCAGAGGCACTGCACTATGACTATGTGGATGTGGAGACCTTAACCAGCATCGTCAGTGCTGGACGCAACTCCTTCCTGTAAGGGGTGGTCCACCACCCGCGCCTGCTCAGGGCTTTCACCTCCGTCTGTGCTCTGAGCCCAGCCTTGGGCACTGGGAGGAAGGGGAGGAGCGGTGGGAAGCTAGGGTGGTGCCTTCTTCAGTCAGCAATGCGGAGGGAGCTGCCCAGGGTGGACACACCCTGTAGACAGAATGACTCAAAAAGGATCTGTGTTCACCACCGGACCTTTCGCAGACACACCCCTGAGCATCGGTGTGGGCCATGTGGATGATCCACCAATTTCAGCATTGGAAGAGCTCAAGCCAGGCATGGCGTCATTCACCTTTAAACATAGCACTCAGAATTTCAAAGTCAAAAGTCAGCCTGGGCTACCTGGCAAGACCCTGGCTCCAAAACAAAGAAAAACTTGCCAGACATTAGTGGCTCACACCTGTAATCCTAGCCACTCGAGGCTGAGATCTATGGAATATGGTTCAAAGCCAGCCCAGGCAGGAAAGTCTGTGAAACTCTTATCTCCAGTTAACCTCTAGAAAACTGGAAGTGTTGCTGTGGCTCAAAGTAGTAGAGTGCTAGACTTGAGCAATAAAGCTCAGGGACAGATCCCAGGCCCTGAGTTCAAGCCCCACAGCTGACAACAACAACAACAAAAGAAAGACTGCAAGGTGTTGGTGGCTTGTGCCTATAACCTAGCTACTCGGGAAGCTGAGATCGGATGATTACCGTTCAAAGCCAGCTCAGGCAGGAAAGTCCATAAGATTCGAGATTCTTATCTCCAGTTAGCCAGCAAAAAGCCAGAAGTGTGGCGGAGGTGTGGCTCAAATTGTAGGGGCACACAATATCTTCCAATTCTATGGAGAGCTGCTGCCAGAATCTCAGGAGGGGTGACCAGGAAAGCACCACCCCCACCAGCATCCCCCCCCCATTCCTCCTGTTTCCCTAGGTACGCCAGATCCTGCCAGGATCAGTGGCCTGAGCCCCGTGTCTATGACGACGTTCCCTATGAACAGGTGCAGGTATGGTGGCTTGGGTTGCCCGAGAACATGGCAGAGGCTGCTTCTGTCCCTACACCCCATCCACACACACTGTCCCCTGTCCCTGTGTCTATGACGATGTTCCCTATGAACAGGTACAGGTATGGTGGCTTGGGTTGCCCGAGAACATGGCAGAGGCTGCTTCTGTCCCTACACCCCATCCACACACACTGTCCCCTGTCCCTTTCTGCCTTGGAAAAACTGCTTTTCTTAAGCAACAGCTAGAAGGTTGGGCTCTGCTCCTCCTCAGAACTCTGGATGAGGAGTCTGTGGTGCAGGAAGTACCAATGGATTTGCGGGGGTGGAGGGGGTAAATCTGTTCCCAAGTGCCCTTACAACCTGTCTTTTCTGCCCGGGAGAAGAAGCACACTCTGACTAGACAGGTGGGTGGAGCAGCCTCACATCTAGGCAGAGAGAGGCTCAAGCTGCCAAAGACACCAGAGACAAGTCTGCAGGCCACAGCCCTTCTGTGGATGGTGCTGGCTGGCACTCTGAGAATCACACCTCCGTGACTCACTTTACTAGAAATCTCCCTAGCCACCCTTTCTGTTTCCATGGTCTTTCTTCAGATTCAGATGAACACAGGGACCTACCTTGAGATGTGTAGCCGGACAGCTTAGTGCCTTAGACATGAATGCTGGAGTTAAACCTGGAGCTGAGGCCAAATGACCTGTGTGGGCTTTTCTGGGCCTCACATCCAGGCACCTAGTAGGCAAGAGAACGCTTACCTTCTAGGACTGTGGTGAGAACTAAGTGAAATATTGCATGTAAAAAAAGATCAGCAAGTGGCGCTGTGGCTCGAGTGGAGAGCGCTTGCCTTGAGCTGAAGATCTCAGGGACAGCACCCAGACCCAGAGTTCAAGCCCCACGACCAACAAAAAATCAGCACAGGCAGGGTCTGGTGGCTCACACCTATAATCCTAGCTACTACACAGGAGGCTGAGATCTGAGGATCACAACTTAAAGCCAGCCTGGGCAGGAAAGTCCATGAGACTTAGCTCCAACCTGGAAGTGGAGCTGGGTTCAAAGTGGTAGAGTGCTAACCTTGAGCAAAACAGCTCAAGGACAGTGCCCGGGCCCAGAGTCCAAGCCCCATGACTGCCCCCCTCCCCTCTCAAACAAAAAAACATTATAGTACCTGGACATTGGGAAGTTTCATACAGAAGAATCAATAGTACCTACACCCAAATCTAGTTACTTAGGAGGCTGAGATCTGGAGCAGAAAAGTATGAGATCTGACCTCTCAAATAGCCAGCAAAAATTAGGGCTGGAGGCACAGTATCAGACCCTGAATTAAAAAAAAAGTACTGTTGTTATCAATATTATAGTTACATAATAGTATTATACTCCACTAGAGTTTCCTGAGCTTTGAGTAGATTTTGAGTATTTGTTTTATTTATTTATTGGTTTTATTTATTTATTTATTTATTTATTAGGAGTGGACTCAACACCTCATGCTACACTCTAGCATTTGAGCCACACTCCTGTTCTTTTGTATTGTTGTTGTTTTCTTCTTTTTCAGGACAATTTTTTATTAGTCTACACTAGTTTTATAAGAAGTGGTTTCTTGGCAACATTTCCATACTTGTATGCAATGATCCCAATCAGCTTCACCCATTTGGTTTGATTTTGACATAAATGATCAATACTAACTTTTCTCAGACCAGTTTCAGACTGCCTCCTTCCACTTCCCAAGTAGCTGGGATTATAAGCATGAGCTGCCATACCTGGCCATGTAATACTGGTAATGCACAAATATGTAGCCACTTTAATAAGCTATCTTACTACTACCATAGACTGATCTCACCCGCAATTTTTGTTTCTTTTCTTGTGTTTTTTGAGGAAAGACTGTGGTAGCAATTCAGGAAATTAGAAGGATTCATCCAAATGATGTGAGGACAAAACTAATCTATCATAAATCTAATATGGTTACCACCCGTCTTACGAGATTTCTTAGTTGTCCTCTCAGCAGGCATCCCAGCTTAGGGTTGCCCTCTTCTGCCTGCCACAGAAAGATATGAGATTCAGATGGCACACTGCTCGTGAAAGTGGTTGAGAAACTGTCTGCATCTGCAGACAGAAGGCCAGGATCTCAGAGGCCCTGCCAGGCTTGTTCCCAGCAGGAACAGGGCTGAGTGACACTAGCCTTCCCAAACTTAACCTTCCTCCTCTTCCTCACAGGACGAGGAGCCCCCAAGGCCCAGCGGAGCCCAGGTGAAGCGCCATGCCTCCTCCTGCAGTGAGAAATCCCACCGAGTGGACCCCCAGGTCAAAGTCAAACGTCACGCTTCCAGTGAGTTCCATGAGGGCTGCTGCCCTGATGTGCAGGGGGAGGGGAGGGAAGCCATCATGAATGGGTCTCAAAACCAGACTCTTAGCTGGGCACTGGTGGCTCATACTGGTAATCCTAGCTATTCAGGAGGCTGGGCTCTGAGGAACAAATTTCTAAGTCAGCACAGGCAAATCTATGAGACTCTTCCCTTCAGGTAGCCAGCAAAAAGCCTGAAGTGGAGGTGTGGCACCAGTAGTAGAGCACCAACCTTGAGCTACAAAGCTAAGCAGGAACTCAAAACCCTGAGTAAGCAACACACACTCACACACACACACACACACACACACACTGCAGAGTAAGCAAATTAGATGAGTAAAATATAGGGAAAGAAAGCATGCTACCCTAAGAAAAGGAACAACAGACCCTTGGGAGAGCATTGGCCTAGCATGTAAAAGTCCCGTGACTCGTCTCAGCCTGCAAAGCAGAGTACTTTAGGATTGGGGCAGATAGTGAACTGGAGCTATCAGACAGCATGCAACCCTCCAGGAGCCCCCAACAGCAGCACTAGCCAGATTTACCTATTCATCAAAAATGCTAGAAATTGGGCTTTTTGTTTTTATCTCACAAGATTTTTTTATTATCATACATTATTACCAGGGAAGTCCACGATGGCATTTCCACACATGTATATAATGCATTAGGACCTTGCCTCCTCCATCACTCTCCCTGACCCCTGCCTCTTCCTAAAATAACTTCAACAGGGTTCACTGCTGTATTTTCATATATACAAACCAACTGCTTTGACCATATTCAGCCTCATTGCAATCTTCTGTTTTAATATAAGGGATTAAGTTTTTTAAAGATTGAACACTGGTAATGTAGACATAAGTATACATACAGATATAAATACAGCTACAGATATAAAATACAGATTCAGAGACCATCTCCCTACTTTACCGGTTTCCTGAGCTAACAACTTCTTTCTGATCTGGGGTGACAAGGGTAAACCAGACCCCCTCCATGTACCCTGGATGGGCTGCCTGGAGAGCCACAGCTCCCCTGTGTATCCCAGCCGAGCCCCACCCAGCTCTGCACGGGATCCAGTGAGGTGCCTGACTGCCGCCCTGCACCAGTGACTCTGTGCCAGACCACGCCTGTGGGTTCTGTTGCCAGCACAGCCTCTGCCCCTTGAGCAAGCCAGCATCCTGTCAGCCTCTGTGTTCCAAGAGGTTCTTCTTTCTTCTCTACATTTCTTCCCTAGTCTGCACCTGGACAAACTCATACTCTGTACTCTTTTTTTTGGGGGGGGGGTGCGCGGGGGCTGGTCCTGGGGCTTGAACTCAGGGTCTGGGTGCTGTCCCTGAGCTTCCTTTGCTCAGGCTATCACTTTGAGCCACGGCACCAATTCCAACTTGTTTGTTTTGCAGTTTAGTAGAGATAAACAGTCTCACATACTTCCCTGATCAGGCTGGCTTCAAACTGAAATCCTCAGTTCTCAGCCTCCTGAGTAGCTAGGATTACCGGTGTGAACCACCAGCACCTGCCTGCACTTTGTTTTTTGAAGTATTATTTTGAAAACATCATTTTGCAATGCTCTAGCACTGTTTTATTAGTATAGCTTGTCCCTGGGGGCTGGGAAGGTGGCCCAGTGGTAGAGCGCTTGCCTTGCATGCCTAAGACCCTGGGTTCAATTCCTCAGCACCACATAAGCAAAAAGAAAAAAGCCAGAAGTGGTGCTGTGGCTCAAGCAGTAGAGCGCTAGCCTTGAGCTGAAGAACTGAGGGACAGTGCCCAGGCCCAGAGTTCAGGCCCCACGACTGGACCCCCCCCAAAAAAAAATATATATATACATAGCTTGTCCCTCCTGGGGGTAGATCTGCCTTCCCTTGTTCCTCACTCAACCACTACACTGCTATGTAACATTGGAGAGATCTCTCCCCTTTTGGGGTGAGGAGTTCCCTCTTAGGCACTGGAAACAATGGGCCCTATTTTAAATGGAAAACTACTATGAAAACAGCAATGAAACCTGTTGACGTAGCTTTGGAAAGGGAAGAAAAGAGGAAAGGAGAGTGATAGAGCTGAGCTTGATTGCAGACTATTGTAAATGTGTGGAAATGCAACAGTGAAATTTCTGTCTACCATAACTAAGGTAAGCTAATAAAGAAAAATGGAAAACTAACTGAAATAAATGTGGAAGAGTAAATAGATCACACACACACACACACACACACACACACACACGCACGCGCGCACGTAAAGTGATGATGAGAGAATACAAGTACTGTTTACCTGTTTCTAAAGACCTTGGTGCCTTGATCTGCTAGCTCCCTTTTCCTCTCTTTTCCTTAAGGCATTCCATCTAAATAAAAGGAATTGGTTGACTGATATACCACTGGCTCACACCTATGATCATTAACTACTCAGATCTTAGGATTATGGTTCAAAGCCAGCGTGGGTAGGAAAGTCTATGAGACTCTGGTTTCCAAAAACAAGCAAAAAAGCTCAAGTGGTAGAGCACTAGTCTTGAGCATAAAAGCTCAGGAACAGTGTCTACCCAGTCCCTGAGTTCAAGCCCCAGGACACTGACTGACTGACTGACTGACTCTGACTCTTCCCTCCCCCTTCCCCCCCTCCTCCCCTCCCCCCCCCCCCGCCCCCCACCGTCTGTCTTGACCACCTTCATTACTGTGTTGGCTAGGTTTATACTCTAGCCAGAAAAAAGAAACCAAAAGCACCAGGGACAAAAATACAGTTTCTCCCTCCCCCGTAGTATAACCCCTGTTTTCACTATATTTGATTGGTATAATTTATGGAGGGGAAGAGAAAAAACAAATTGTTTAAATAGGAATACAGGTGGACCTATTGCAGCAATGAGATGTACAAGATGTTATGTCAAAAATGAACTTTACAACTTTGGCGGAGGGGGAAGGATGGGAAGGGGAAACAAGAGGAAGCAACAATGCTTGATAAGAAATGCACTCATAACCTTGTCCATGTAATTGTAATCCCTCTGTACGGTATTTTCACAATTAAAAAAAATACAGAGTTGCACATTCTGACACAATTTGAGAGAGGTCACTGTGCGTGCACAACCACACACACACACAAAGGAATTGGTTGAATCTTCCCATTTTACTGACAGAGCCATTTGAGACTGAGGAAAAGCCGACACAGCCTCGTACCTCACCAGAGGTCATGACTGAGAGCCTTTCCTCTCTTCCCATATCTCACAGGTGCCAATCAATATAAGTACGGCAAGAACCGGGCTGAGGAGGATGCCCGGCGGTACCTGGTAGAAAAAGAGAAACTAGAGAAAGAGAAAGAGATGATTCGGACAGAGCTGCTAGCCCTGCGGCAGGAGAAGAGGGAGCTGAAGGAAGCCATTCGGAGCAGCTCAGGTACTGCATGGGCATGGCCCCAAGTACACCTGCCCTGGCACAGTGTGGAGTCATCTGCACAGGGCATCTGGCTTTCCACCCAACTGATAGGAGGCTCCTCCCTTCCTCCCCCGCCCCCTTGTTTCTGGTTACTTCCTTTAACTAAAGCACGCGCTGTCAAGTTAGTGACTGCTTTTGGCTAGAAAAGCATCAAACTCATGGGTGATCTCAAGGCAGTAAGAGCCTGGGTTTAAGAAGTGTGAAAAATAAGTGCAGAGAGTGACTCGAGTGGTAAAGCACCTACCTAGTAAATGTGAGTTCAAACCCAGTACAGTCAGAAAGAAGCTGGGTGCTGGTGGCTTACACCTGCAATCTTAGCAACAGAGGAAGCTGCGATCTGAAGATCGATGTTCAAAGCCAGCCTAGGCAGGAAAGTCTGTGAGACTCTTGTCTCCAATAGACCACTAAAAAAGCCAAAAGTGAAGCTATGGCTCAAGTGGTAGCGACTCTTCTCGACAATTAACCACCAAAAAGCAGGAAATGGAACTGTGGCTCAATGCAGTAGGGTACTAGCCTTGAGCCAAAGAAGCTCAGAGACAGCACACAGGTCCTATGTTCAAGCCTCAGGACTGGCACTAACAAAAAGAGAGAAAGAAAAAGAAAACCCCTACTGAGTGTGCCTTGGCATCACTTTGAACCCATAGCCCTTCATTCTCAGGTCTGTGAGAGGCATTGGTCCCAGGCTGGCAAGGATACACAGTGTTACTTCCCAGTGTTTCTTCTGAAACACAGGGACTTTTGCAGCCCTTACCAGCTCTGCAGACCTCACCAGCTCTGCGCTTCTCCACACCCCTCCTTTCAGCCATGTTTCCTCTAGTTCTCTAGCTACAGCTTATCATGCTCAGCCTGAGGTTTCTTCACATGCTGGGGAACAGAGAACCTCATAAAACATGTCTACAGTTGTGTAGCCCATGAATCTCTGGGTCCATTCCTAGGATAAAAACACAAACTATTTCAGGACCTCAAGGGCTGCTCTGGCGCCTCAAACCCAGAGCTTTTGGTTTAGGGTGAGACCCATTCTGAGTAGCCAAGGGGCAGAATCAGTGGGAGGTACAGGAAAGCTTGGTTTCAATATAAAGGCAGTTGGTATAAGAGCCAGAAACATGAGTGGCTCTCCTCCATTTTTTGGGGGGGGGGGACGTTTGTGGGGCCTGAACTCTGGGCCTGGGCGCTGTCCCTCAGCTCTTCAGCTCAAGGCTAGCGCTTTACCACTTGAGCCACAGTGCCCCTTCCAGCTTTTTTCTTTTTGCTTTTGTGGTGCTGAGGAATTGAATCCAGGGCCTCATGCATGCAAGGCAAGCGCTCTACCGCTGAGCCACTTTCCCAGCCCTCTCCTCCATTTTTTTAAACTATATTGCTATCACCTTGTAACAGAGTAGACAGTTTTATTATCTTATTGTTTATCACACACACAGATTCTTCAAAGGCAAAAATCTTTGCCAGTTGTACTGTCTGACATATCTCAAGGTTTAGGACAGTGTCTGGTACATAGTAAAAGAACACAGTAAGTGCTTACTAAAGGAAGAATGAGTGAGTTTAACATTACTAGGTAACTTCTCAATGCAGAACAGAGAGTGGAACTAGCTGAAAACCTGGGAAGACCCATCAAGTGCCCATGGCTCTTGCTACTCAGGAGGCTGAGATCAAACCCAGCCTAGGCAGACAAATGTGAGAGGTGCTTATCCAATTAAGAAGCAAAAAGTCAGAAGTGGAAGCATGTTTCAGGTCATATGGAGCCAGCCATGAACAAAAAAGCTAAGCAAGAGCATGAGGCCCTGAGTTCAAGTACCAGCAGTATGGGCACTAGTACGGCACCAAAAAACAAAACAAAACAAATGCCTGAAAAGATACCACCACTTAGAAACACCACTAAAAAAGTTAAACTGAATAAGCAGCAAAATTCTGAAAACCCTCATCTCTGTAAAGCCTCATGTTGACTCTGGCCTGCAAGCAACAGACACCAAAATCAGACTGACATACTGGAAGAAAAAGATAGCTAGAAAAATTGGCAAAACAGGTACTGTGAGGTCTAAGGACATAAGCAATGTCACTGGGAAGCTAATTTCTCTAATGCTGCTGCCTTCCTCTACTTTGATTTTGTTCCCTCCCCCTTGTGGTGGCAGAGTGGCTGTACAGCTCCAGCCCTCATTTTAGCCTGTTCTCTTCTCAGTGACCACACCAACTTGATCTCTAAACCAGTCCCTGTGACCATAAGAGGTAATTATGGTCCAGGCCTAAATTATGTGCCAAACCCTTGAACTAGGAATGAGGTCGACCCCATTCAAACTACGGAGAATAAAGGGAAAGAATGATGTCCCAGTAGGAAATCAGGAGAAACAGTGGTTCCCTACTTCTCAGAGATGGGAACTAAGCAGCCAAAGACATCACTGTAGACCTGGAAAGCCAGGCCCAAAATCCATCTCCTAAGTGGGACTGAAGGCTTCCACTCAGGGCTGAGGCCCTTGAGCAGCTCCCTGAGCTTTGGGGTAGGCGCAGCTGTTTCTCACTCTCTCTGCACTCAGGTCCAAAGCTGAAGGCCCTGGAGGAGGCAGTGGCCAGCCTGGAGGCTCAGTGTCGGGCAAAGGAGGAACATCGGATTGATCTGGAGCTGAAGCTCGTAGCTGTGAAGGAGCGCTTACAGCAGTCCCTGGCAGGGGGCCCAGCTCTGGGGCTGGCCATGAACAGCAGGGGCAGGAGTAAGGTGAGTTCCTGGCTTGTATGTGGGCAAATGCTCTCACACAGCAAGACACTCTCAGACTGCTCTGCTCACTTCAGAAAACTGAGGCCCAGGGAGGTGAAGATATGAGCCACCTGCAGCATAGCCAGGATAAGGATCTTAGAGAAAGTCCTAGTGGCTCTCTAGCCTGCTCTCTCTAGATCAGCACTGTTGTGGTCTTAGAAATCTAAGATCTTGAGCTGGACACCAGTGGTTCATGTCTGAATTCCTACTACTTAGGAAGTGAATATCTATGGATCAAGGTACAGACCATCCGGGTAAGAAAGTCCTTTAAAAAAAAAAAATAGTCCTGGGACTTGAACGCAGGGCCTGGGTACTGTCACTGAGCTTCTTTGGCTTAAGGCTAGCATTCTACCACTTGAGCCACAGCATCACCAGCTTTTTCTGTTTATGTGGTACTGAGGCATTGAACCCAGAGCTTCGTGCATACTAGGCAAGCAATCTACCACTAAGCCACATTCCCACCCCCCTGAGACTCTTATCTAACCACTAAAATGCCAGAAATGGAGGTGTGGCTCCAGTGGCAGAATGCCAGTATTGCATGAAAAAGCTAACAGATGGCCCCAGGCCCTAGTTCAAACCCTAGTACTGACCTTCCCCCTTCTCCCCACAAAATAATCTAAGATCTTGGAAATGGTCTCAAGATTACTAATAATAACAACTACCCTATATTGAATAGAAAATGTGCTGTTGGATTACCTTGGCCCAGTACAGTATTTAAACTGCAGAATCTCATAGTCCTATGAGCTTGTATTAATTCCACTTGACAAACAGGGAAACTGAGGTTCAGAAGTCTTTGAGTGACTTGCTCAGGGTCACTCAGCCAAGTGAAAGATAGAATTACAAACCCAAGAAGTGTGACTGCTGAGATTCCCAGCTATGTCCACAACCCTCTCTTCTGGGCTTAGCATTCACTCTCTCTGTTACCCCTGGCAACCATACAAGGATGATGTTCTCGCTCCCAAGAGGATATCCTAAGAGGCAACTTCCCTCACTTCAAGTCTCTTGAAAGTTCTTTCATTAGCATATATTTATTGTACAATAGCTTTTTATTATGATACTTTGTATATATATATGTATACTTTGTGTAAATATACATTGTATAAATATACTTTGTATAAATATATATATGTATACTTCTTATATGATTTGATCAAATTCATCCTTTTTTTTTGCCAGTCCTGGGGCTTGAACTCAGGGCCTGGGCACTGAACCTGGGCTTCTTTTGCTCAAGGCTAGCTCTCTATGACCCTTAAGCCACAGCACCACTCCCAGCTTTTTCTGCTTATGTAGTGCTGAGGAATTGAACCCAGGGCTTCATACATGTAAAGTGAGCACTCTACCACTAAGCCACATTCCCAACCCCCTCTATTTCTTTTTTATCCCCACTTCTTTTCCCATCTTTATTTTATAGTTTTTAATGGGCTTCATTATGTTATTTGCATATATACATATAATATACTTGGGTGATACCCCATCACCCTCTCCACCCCTCCCCTTTGCCCCCTCCCACTGGCTCTCCCGTACCATCCCCCTTTCGCATTTGTATCTTTTGCTGTTATTTTCTATCTGTTTCTTCATATGAGAGAAAGCATGAGATACTTGTCTGAGCTTATCTCGTTTAACATAATGACTTCCAATTCCATCCATTTTCCTGTCGGGATTTTCAGTCTCAATAGTGGGACCATCATTCTTTTTTTATATGAGATGCTGTATACATTCTGGGGTGCTTAGCAGCATCCCTAATGATAACACTCCACCTTCACTTACAACCACCAAAATTGTCTTGAAAGCTGGGCACAATCATATACACGTAATTCCACTATTCAGAAGGCTGAGAAGGATTACAAATTTAAGGCCAGCCTATGCTATAAAGTGAGTTCTGAGTCATGCTGGGCTATGATGGCATCTCAAAAAAAAATTCTTTAGAAAACTCACAGATGTTTCCTAGGAAACCAAAATCACTCCTGGTTAGGGACCGTTAAGAATTAGGGACCATAGCTGGGCACTGGTGGCTCACACCTGTAATCCTAGCTACTCGGGAGGCTGAGGATCATAGTTTAAAGCCAGCCCTGGTAGGAAAATCTGAGATTCTTAACTCTAGTTAATCACCAGAAAAGCCAGAAGAGGAGCTGTGGCTCAAGTGCTAGAGTGCTAGCCTTGAGTAAAGAAGCTTAGGGACAGTGCCCAGGCCCTGAGTTCAAGCAGCAGGACCAGCAAGAATTGGGGACCAGGAGTGTAACTTGATGGTACAGCACACTTGCTGACATATGCAATTCTTTAGGTGTGAGCCCTAGCACCAAGAGAGACAGAGACAGAGACACACACAGCAAGAGAGTCAGAGAGAATGAGAGACAGAAAGAATTAAGACTATATGTGTTTATCATTATATCCCTAACCCTTGCTGAAATCTTAATAATAGCAGGAGTGTAATAAATGTCTATTGAATCAGCAAATGTGTCTCCTACTTTCAGACCACAAAACTTAGAGATGAACTAGCTTGGATAATAGATATGTCATTGGAAGCTGTATTTGTATTGCTGTTGTTCCAGATGGCACAGACTGGGCAGATCACAGCCAATGACTGAAGCCAAAACTATATCTCACACCCCCACACTTCCTCTCCACAGGGAGTTTCTAACCTCATTTTAGACATGATTCACATTTGAATCAGAGTCACAGAGGGCTGGTGAGCAGCTAGAACTGGATCCCTCCCACTGCTTCTGCCCACGAGCTCACCCTGATGTCCCTGGTCCACACTGCTTGTCCTTCCACTTTTGATCCTGTGACACTCTTTGGAGATCAAGAGAGTTGTGTTCTAAATTCCTTTCAGGCTTACCTGTTGAGAGTTCATATTTAAGGAACTGCATCCTGGGGTATTAAGGAGTGTAAGGAGTAATAGTGGTGTAGGAAATGGGAAGGGATGCCAGAGAGAAGCAGACAAAGGTTAACAATAGAACTGCATAGCTCAGTGGTACAGCAAGTGCTTATTAGTATGCTTGAGGACTACATGGGGCTATGAGGTTGTGAGGATTGAATCCCAGCTCTCATATTTACCAGTCGCATGACCTTACGCAACACGTAACCTTCCTTGTTTCCTCATCTATAGAAGTAAATAACTAATCATACTCCTGTCACTGCTGGTTGGTGAGGGCTAGAATTGGAAAGCCTCCATTCAGAGTTTTGTCCCAGATCCTTAACTTCTATCTCAGAAAATGAATTTGAGGACACTGTGAGGTAGAGACTAAGGTTTATTAGTAAAGCAAAGATGGTATACCACCCAGATAGGAAAACAGGCTCATCTGAGAACAGAGTAATGAGTTCTCTAACATCACAGGTATATGTGGCAGAAAAAAAAAATGTTGGGAGCCAGGTGCTAGTGGCTAACACCTGTAATCCTAGCTACTCAGGAGGCTGAGATTGAAAATCATGGTTTGAAGTCAGCCTGGGCAAGAAAGTCCATGAGATTTTTATCTCCAGTTAACCAGCAAAAAGCCAGAAGTGTGATGGTCCTAGGGCTTGAATTTGGAGCTTAGGCACTGTACATGAGCTTTTGTGGTCAAAGCTGATGTTCAGTTGAGCCACAATTCCACTTCCAGCTTCTGCTGGTTAATTAGAGGTGAGTATCTCATAGACTTTCCAGCTTGGGCTGACTTCAAACCATGAACTATAGATTTCAGCATCTTGAGTAGCTAGGATTAGGATTACATGTGTGAGCCACTAGTATGGGGATTTCTCTGTTTGTTTGGTTTGGTTTTTTTATTTTATTTTTTATTTTTTGCCAGGCCTGGGCTTTGAACTCAGAGCCTGGGCGCTGTCCCTGAGCTTCTTTGACCACATCATCACTTCCATCTTTTTCTCAGTAGTTTATTGAAGATAAGAATCTCACAACTTTACTACTGGGCTGGCTTTGAACCACAATCCTCAGATCTCAGCCTCCTGAGTAGTTAGAATTATAGGCATGAGCCACCAGTGCCCAGCTTCCCGTGTGCTTTTTTATTTATTTTTTTTGGGGGGTCCGGTCGTGCCTGAACTCTGAGCCTGGGCGCTGTCCCTCAGCTCTTCAGCTCAAGGCTAGCACTCTACCACTTGAGCCACAGCGCCACTTCCAGCTTTTTTCTTTTTGTTTATGTGGTGCTGAGGAATCAAACCCAGGGCCTCATGCATGCAAGCGCTCTACCACTGAGCCACCTTCCCAGCCCCTTCCCGTGTGCTTTTAATGGAGCTAATTACTACAGTACTGTCTCAGAATTCCTGGTTGTTGTTTCCCATGTTTTTGTTTTTGTTTTGTTTTATTTGTCTTTTTGTCCTGATCTCTCCTCGCTCAGTACCTACTTTAATGGACTTGTAGAAAAGTTGTCTAGAACATGGTGAGAGTTCAGAAATACTGATTTTCTCAAGGCCCTTTGTATCTTTTTCCCTATGCCCTCATATGTTTGCTACTGTTTCTGTTTTAAAGTGCCTTTTGATTTCTTTTTTGTTTTTTGGTGGCATAGGGATTTGAATTCAGGGCCTTGTAATTTCTAGACAAACCAGTTCAGCTATGGCCCAGCCTCATAAAGTGCCTTATTCTTTTGAGAGCAGACTAGATGCAAATAACTAACACTAAATCTCAATTATTTTTTGGACCATTGACAGGAAACGGCAAATAAACCCCAGAACAGTGTCCCTGAGCAATCTCTCCCTGTCAACTGTGTTTCCGAGCTGAGGAAGAGGAGCCCATCCATTGTGACCACCAACCAAGGACGGGTGCTGCAGAAAGCCAAGGTATACCAACAGTTCAGGCAATCAAAACTCTAGCTGGAGCTAGGTGATGGTGGCTCGTGCCTGCAATCCTAGCTACCCAGGAAGCTGAGATCCGAGGATTGAGGTCTAGAACAAGCGAAGCAGACAAACCCAAGAAACTCTTTTTTTTTTTTTT